CATTCACATACAAAAATCATACAAACATTCAGTACATTAAAAAAAAACCCCAAAAAATAACTTCTTGTTAATAATACAATAATGTTTAAATTGAGATCTAGTAAGTCTTTTTATTTATATTGAAGAAATTGATATAAATTAAACATTTTAAAAACATTAATAGCAAGCTAATTTAATCCAATGCTAATCAGTGCCAATGAAGATGTTATTTACTACTCTGAATTTAATATAGGAACAAATGAAGATGAAATTTGAATTTTTATTATATTAATATAAATGAATAAATCTGTTGAGCTTATAAAATAGAGTGTTGAGTACTTTAACTGGTATTAGTTCCTCCTATGCATTTTATCTGTGGATAATATGTAGCGAGAACAAAAGAAAAATCAGATAGACTTGCAAATTATGTTATAGCCCTGAAAGTTTCTGACAGAGCTTATGTAAACCTTGGGGGCTGGTGGGGAAATAAGAAAGACATTTGGATAATTTCTCCTGTTTATACAGGATAAAAATCTTATTCCAGAGGAAAGCAAGATTTTCTGGGGAACAGCTCCTATCATAACCACTTAGCTTATTGGTAGGCTGCAGCATTTACTACGTGTCACATTACAGTGATTCCTGAATAAAACAGTCTTGGCATTCATTTTAAGCTAAGAGTGGACCTGAACTGCTGATAACCTGCCTGTTCCTTCAGAATTCTCTCAGAACGGTGCTCTCAAACAAGGGCTCAATCATTCTTTTATTCAAATAGTATATCTGGCATGAAATAGAGAAGTAAAAACCCAACCTTTGCTTATCAGAGAATTTTACCTTTTGCCTACTGACTTAGAACAGCATGTAAACAACCACAAACAGATGTCATCAATTTAATCCCATCTACTATTTGCAACACACATGAAAAATCTTCCTATCTCCCTTGTTTCTAGTGAATATCCCAGGCAGTTATCTGTAGTGCTTTTTTGAACATGTAAAATATCCACACACACATTCACACACTATTTAAGGGTTAAAGGTAAGGAAGGGTTATGAGGGATTAAGGTCATATGCCCAGGTCACACAAGCTTAGTGAGCTTTTCTACACCATAAAAAAGCTAAGATCAAATTAACTTTTTGGTCGTAAGATTAGGTAAAAGCCCTTTGTCCAGAGTATCCATAAAAGTCATTCTTACAGTAGGCAACTAATATCTCAGAATTACTGGTTGTATATATTGACCAATCAGTGATTTCAAAAGACAAACTGGTAGAAGAGATTTCATCTGCAAGGACCATAGTTTTGAAGATATATGTTGCATCTCTCCTCAAAGTTGAACTGGAGTCAGAAACTGATTTAAATGTCAGTTACTGGGTCTGATAGATTGTGTTTCAAAGGCAATGGGATATTCTAAATGTATTCATTATGTCCTGCAGATAGAAAGGGCAGGTGAACACTGAGTGGCTGTGTCAGCTTGACTCTCCTTCCATGCACCGGGTAGTCACTTCACCAGGGTTGATAAGAGTTTCATAGGAAATCAAATGATCCAAATAAAACTCTCATGTAATAAGGTTTAATGAAAACCATCACACTATGGAATTCATGTTTATTATTTAAAACTTTTTATAACTAAAAATGTGACTAGTTTATATAATGCCAAGGAACATTAAACCAACCCTATCAATTCAGTATGGATATATTTTAAAAATCAGATTTACCAGGTTTTAATGAAGTCAGTTTTCCTGGTAGCATGAAAAGGTTGTCCTACATCCAACACTGGCCCCATCCTCTCTGAGCTGCATTTGGTTCCTTCAGTTGTAAAATAAAGAGTATACCACCCTCATAAAGTTGGTGTGAAGCCAAACATGATATAAAAATACCTAAATACATACATTTGATACATTTCATTTCTCTTTTCTTCTTGGTTTACTAACCTATGAAGTATTTTTATAATATCTTACATGATGAAATTTTAAGAAAACTGAAAATCATTCTTCTGGCTTGTATAACACAATTAGGAAGGTTTGATCTCTTCCTTTTTTGTACTGGGGGTTGAGTCCAGGGCCTTGCACACACACTCAACCACTGAGCTATATCCTTAGAATTGATTTCATTGAAATTTCTTATAAACCCTAAAAAGTTTGGGCTCTATCTGTCTTGTAGAACAGAACAGCCACAGGGGGAAATGTTTTTGACCTGCATGTTCAATTTTTTATTTTTTGTCTTTTTTGAGACAGGATCTCCTCGTAGACCAGCTGGCCTGGAACTCACAAAAATCTGCCTGCCTCTGCCTCCTGAGTGCTGGGATTAAAGGCATGCACCACCCTGCCCAGCTCTGCACATCCAATTTTTAAATTCATTACTTTTCCTAGATGTACTGAGAAGGCAGAAGGAGGCAATGAAGGATGTATTGTAAATGCCTTCCAGAATTTAGCATGTACTTAGTTGTTTTTTTCTTGTAGAAAGCAACAAGCTAGCAAGCTAAAATTTATAATGACAGGCAATAGAAGATGGCCAAAAGTTATAAACAAGAACAAAGCTGAAGGTCTCACATAACTTTAAAACCAGACTGCTCATAAAAGCTACAGTATTAGGAAAAGGATAGAAACATAGTTTAATTACGTAGAATGGAAATTTAGAGATATGTAGCGAATCAATTTTTTACTAAGGTATAAAAGGCACATGCAATGGCTAGCCACATGCAAAAGAATAAATCTCCACTCCTGTTTCACATCCTATATGCAAATCAGTGGCTTCCTGGAGTTGAGGGGGGAGGTGATTTCTAAGAGATATAGGAGACTTCTGAGGGAGGCAATACATCTCTTTCACCCTTGAGATCCAGTCATACTCAAACCCTAGTTCTATGCCCCTAGGAGAGAGCAGAGATGCCACGTTTGTTCTATGTAATGTTCTGTCTGCCTACACTACTCTTCTTCCTGCTTACCCTTGCATCTAAACTTGTCTATCTAACTTGTTTTTTTTCCCCCCTTTACGGGCAGCTAACATGCACTTTTAGAAAGTCATCCATGATTCTTTGTGTCTGATTTAGGTCCCCTCATTTTCTGTTCTTCCAACCTGGTTCATGCGTAAATATTTGTGGTGTAATAAAAATATTGGTATTTGGTCTTTGTCTCGGGTTCTTGGCACAGAACTCTCTCTTAAAAGCCTTGGAATTGGGGCTGGAGAGATGGCTCAGCAGTTAAGACCACTGGCTGCTCTTCCAGGGGACCTGGGTTCAGTTCCCAGCACCCACATGGTGGCTAACAACCATCCTTAACTCAGTTTCAGGGGATCTGACACCCTCCTTTGACCTCTGTGGGCATTGTACAACATAGATGCACTTACATACATGTACACAAAACACTCATACACATAAAAAATAAAATAAGTAAAAACCTTGGAATCTCCTGAGAGGGGCAGCATTTGTATGCTAATTAGATGACTGTTAGCTAGGGACCTCTATATACCTATGGGATGAGGGTTGGATGTCAGAAAGACCAGGCTAGGGGTAGAGACTGAGTTCAATCACAAATGCCCAATGATTTAATCAAGCACACAACTACATGATGAAACTTCTAAACGATGGGGTTTTCAGAGCTTTTGGATTCATGAAGCTGCTAGAAGAGATGGGACAGTGGTAGACCCAGAGATAGTATGGGATCTACCACTAACAGCCTTATCCTATCCATCTCTTCCATTTTCTGCCTGAGTTGTATCCTTTCTCATAAATAGGTAAATGTAAATAAAGTGGTTTCCTCCATTCTATAAGTTATTATAGTGATTTACCAAACCTGGAGGGGAATCATAGGAACCCGAATTTGTAGCCAGGTTGAAAAGAGTAGGTACCCTGTTTTGACTATCATATGACATGAGGGGAGTCTTGTGAGACTGACCATCAAACTGTGGCATCTGTAACTCTGGGCACAGAGTTGAATTATTGTACAATCAGATAGTATCTAGATAATTAACAAAATTGATGTTAGAAAGGATATCACATACTGGGAGTTGAGAACAGTTATTTGAAATCTGTTTATGAATTTCATTGATATAAACTCCAGGAGACAAAATTCTGTTTATTTTATCTACTATACTACATTTCTAGCACAGTGCCTGGCATACTGTTCAACAGAAACTGACTGAATATAAATAGAAATGACAAATGGAATTCCTACCACTGGAGTATAGACATATATTCCAAACTATAATCTGGAGCGAAGCCTATTATGAGATCTTCCCTGGCTTTGCTTCAGTGCAACACTGAAAACTGGAAACAAAGAGTAAAGTATCATGTCTAACTTTCCACTAGGAGCTATGAAGGCCAACTGTGGGGATACGTGATACTGAAGAAAGAGTAGGAAGCCGTAAATAGATCTTAATTCAGAGTTGAGTACAGCCCAAAGATCAAGTCCTAGCCCTGCTAACTTTTCCACATTTAACCTCACGTTGTCAAGCAGTGATTCTCTCAAACCTGCTGAGCAGTGGAGTCTAATCCCTACCCTACTGCCTACTTTTTAAAAAATGCTTCAACATAAAAACAAACTATGTGTGTGATCTACTAGAACCAAAGGCAATGAAAATCTTCTCAGATGAATACTAGTGCGTCAAGTTCTTTAAAGACATCATCTAATCCAGAAAATATGCAGAGAGAATAGAGTACCTTGTCTACCATGAGCCCAGAGAAACTGGTGATTTCCCACTCTTGCCATAGAGGTATCATCAGTCACCTGCAAGTAACTCATCTGTCCTTGACCTGCGATTCTATCAAGATTCTTAAAAGCACACTGGTGTCCGCACTTTCTGTTAGACTAGATTTCAAGCCTAACAGGGGCAGAACACATCTTCTTGTCAGTGCTGAGTAGGGAGGACAGGCTCTTCAAACACCGAACAGGACTGAGCAGTAGATGCCAACACAGCCAGCATCTATCAGGTAAATTTGTTGAGGCTAATACGATCTGACAAAAGTGAACCAGGTCTAACAGACATTGATAAGAAAATAATAGGTCCAGCTTGGCACTCAAATAGGTCTCACCTGTGATGAAGTCGTCCTTCCTTTCTTAATTTCAGATGAATTTTCACTCAGTTTTCCTACTTTGTTACTTGAGGTGCATTTGTAACATGCCCATCTTGTTTGGCCTTCAGTTTCTATGGTGCATTCTTTGTTTTGTAGACAAAATGAATGATACAAATGGCCACAGCTACAAAATGAAGAAATACAATTTGTGCTATTTCAAAATCTATAAACATGAACAATGATAGAGTGTACTAGCATATGGTAAAGAAAAACTGGAATGACAAGAAACAGGAGAGGAACAATCCCCACTGATATCCTTGACTTTAAAGAATCCAGTCTAGGGCTGGACAAGGTGGTGCATGCCTGTAATCCTACCACTCTGGAGGCAGAGGCAGGTGGACCTCTCTGAGTTCAAGGCTAGCCACCTGGTCTTCATAGCCAGTTCCAGGCCAGTCAGGACTACATAGTGAGACCCCGTCTCAAAGGGAAAAAAAAAAAAAAATCCAGTCTCACAACTTTAATTCTTAGGTTGTGAGTAGCAATGCCATCACAATTCTCTGATTACAGAGCTGAGTGGAGTTTCTGCTCATTTTCCAACTATGAAATTCTTCTGGTCATTGTTTTAGGCGGTTTTTTAAAAAAGGCAATTGGGCCGGCCATAGTGGCGCATGCCTTTAACCCCAGCACTCTGGAGGCAGAGGCAGGTGGATCTCTGTAAGATCAAGGCCAGCCTAGTCCACATAGCAAATTCCAGGCCAGCTGGGGCTACAGGAAGACTCTGCCTCAAAATAAATTTTTAAAAAAATTGTAGAGGCAATTGGGAAACTTGTAGTTATTTTAGTAGCTTGGTAATAATATGAATGGTCTACCACATTCAAATTCAAGGCAAGTTACAACTTGAAACATCGAAAAAAAGTCAATGCTCTAGAAAATTCTTACACTTGTACCATGAAGACATTCTCTGTTGATTTTTCTAAATTACCAAGTGAGTCTCCCAGATGTTGAATACTGAGCATGCCTCTCAGATGTCTTTTCTGGCTCCTCCTTTCTCTCGCCTGAAGCACTGGACTGGTCCAGAGGGCAATCCTCTTCTCTTCTATAGTCATTAGTTTTCCTTCTCAATGCTATTTCATTCTCTATATAACCTGCTTCTCATATACTAGTTTTTCCTCTCTCTCGCCCTGCTTCTTTAGCGACGGTTTCTAGTTCCAAGCCTTTAAAAGCTATAGGCTCATGATTACCAAATTTATACCTTCAGCACAGACCTCTCCCTTCATCCCTATGTATCTGTCTTCTCAGGAACTCTATTCTGATATCTAATAGACATCTTAATTTAACATGTCCAAAACCAAGCTTGTAATTTCCATTAACTCCACTTCTACTGCATACTTCACATCTCAATAAATAGCGACTACATCCTTCAAGTTTCTAGAAGGCAAAAACCATTGGAGTCATCCTCGACTATTTTCTGTTTTCACATAATGAGCAAATCTATAGCAAATCCTCCTGGCTCTGCCTTCACAATATCCAGAATCTCCCACTTCCTTCTTTGCTACGTATCGGCCCAGGCCATCTCTCTCAAGGACTATTGCAACAGGCTTGCTGGTCACCCTGCTTTCCTCCTTGATCCTCCATAGCCCATTTTCAACACAGCAATCAGATCATATCACTCCCATCCTCAAAACCACCCAATGACTTCTTAAAGGAACCTGGCTCCCACAGGACTTGGCCTCTGTTCTTCCTTTGGAATTCATTCTTGTCATTTTCCCTTTCTGTTGCTTTGCTCAGGCCCAAGAGTCTACTCACTCACTGCTCCTGAAGGACGCTAGAAAGGGTATTGCCTGGCAGCCACCATACTCCTTGTTCCTCTGCTGGGAAACTCTTCCTACAAATTATACATGGCTACCTCCTTAGGTGTCTCTGTTTCTTTCTCTCATTTTAAAAATATTTATTGATTTATTTTTATTTTATGCATATGAGTGATTTGTCTACTTGTAGGCAAGTACATTTGTGGTGTGCAGTGTCCATAGAAGCCAGAAGAGGGTGTTGGATCCTCGGGAACTGGAGTTATACACAATAGTTAGCTGCCATGTGGGTGCTGGGAACCAAACCTGGGTCCTCTGCAAGAGCACCCAGTGCTCTTAACTGCTGAGCCATTTTTCCAGCCCCACCTTAGGTCTTTTGTAGTAGGGCACCTTCTTGACTATAGCTATGCCATGTTAGAGTTTAGGCTGACTCTAGTCTCTGAAATTATCAGCCAGTTGGCCCGGGGTATGGGAACACATGTTGGTTGGACCCCGATTGTCTTCAAAACATGTCAGCGTGTCCTGGAGAGCAACTGCTAACTGTAGATTTATGGCTCCTATAAGTTATGCTTGGCTTGCTTCTGCAAAATAGTAATTGTTGCTTAATAGAACAGAAATTGTTAAGGGACTTTCCATCTGTAAGCTTGGGAACTTAAGCTTTTCACCCCTGGCTATGGTTGCTCTGTATAAAAGTTTACCCTAGAGATGGCTCGGTGCTATACACTTGGGTTCCCAACACCCTTGTGTAGTAGCCCTGGCCAGTAACGACTTTCATTTGGCAAAACTTTGTCTGAGCGGTCTTCTCTGGTGAAGCACCCCACAACACTTTAAAAATTATTCAGTAAGGTCATTAAACAATGAGTCTTTATCTATTTGCGCTTTGTAAATTAGTACCTCCCAACATTCTCTTTCTCTATACTGTTTTATTTTTATTAATGTAACAATTATATTTTAATTTTCTAAGTTAACTTGTTTCTAACAGTGAAGCATTCTTGACAACACTCACCCACCCAAATTTCTCTCTGCCCCTCTACATGTTTTATTTTTTCCCATAAGATCTACCACTGTTTGACATTTCACTTGTGTTTATTATCTGCCCCAAATGCTAGAATGTAAACTTCTTTGTTTTCTTCATGTTGTTTTTTAGCCCATTCAACAGGATGTAGGCTGTTAATAAGTATCTGTGAAATGATTAGTTCTTTCTATGATGAGAAACATTTCCTTATTCAGTCTCTAAATCTGAGCTTCCTTCACAGCTGACACAGTGTTTTTTTCATCTAGGCACTCATTCACCTGTCACAAAAGTCTAGGATGTAGGTATTGTCACTATCTCAATTTACAATAAGAAAACTAAGATAAAAAAAGATAATTTGCCCAAGTCTCATAGCTACCATGTGGCAGAGTCAATATTTGAACTCAGGAAGTTTGACTCTTGGGTCCTATACTATGTTGCCTCTACGCATGTATTCTAGACAAATTCTTGGGACCAGATACTAACCCCTTCACTTGTGTATGAGACCTCTTCTCTCTTTGTACTGTGATTTAAATATATCTATATGTTGATGATTTCCAGTCCCAACATGTCTCCAGACTTCTGATGAGACCACGGTAACTCTGCTTGGAGTCTAACAGCCATCTCAAATCTAAAATCTGCAAGACAAAACTCTTGATTTTTCCAGTTTTTACACTTGCTCCTCCTCAGACAAGGGTATCAAGCTCACCCAGTTCCTCAAGCCTAGTTTCCCTCTCATATTCCATACCTAATGCACCACCAAGTTGGTCATGCCTTTAAAATACATTCTGAATCCAAATGGCTCTCCACACCTTCACCTGTCTCTCAATCTGCTCCAGGGGTTTTCCGTCAGAGATGCACCCTTCCCTGTGCTTTCTTAAAATAGTACTCTTCCGGAATACTTCATCCTCCTGTTCTTCTGCCCTGTGTTTATTTTTCTTCTTAACTCTTAGTAGAGATTATGCACTCTCTGAAATCCTTCATTTCACCCCCTCCCCTCTCTCATGCAGAATGTAAGGGCCTCGGTGGCAGGAATTCTACCTGTTTTGCTCGCTGCTTGAATGACTAAGTGGGACTGTGTATCCACATGTACTACTGCCTGGCAATACTACACCTGCACCATGCAGGTGACATTCCTTCTCTTTCTTACCTGAAGACAATAATTTCATCAGCCATTTCTTGGCGTCTTTTGTACTGTTGTAAACATATAGAGCAGTAATCCTGTTTGGGATTGAGTCCTTTTGAGATTGAAGCTCTCAAGTTACACAATGACCAATGGAGATCTTGGTTTAGAAGGTTGGTTGTTGTTTCCAGCAAGGTCTATGAAAGGCCAAAACAAATACAATAGGTTACAAGATGAAAGATAGGGATTAATGAAGAATATTATTCGTTTAGTTTTCAACTATAAACAACTGAAATTGGAATACACTACAGAAGATGTTTGATGAGACAAACATCAAACCCACAAACTCAAGCAGTTAATCTTAACATGCAGAGTGGTAAATACACACACTTAAATGCTCCAGTGTGTTACTAGTTCCTCCTGAGAAATGTGCCATTCTGTGGCTTATTCAATACTGATAAGACCAAATCTATTTATTCTATTTTATAGCTTTTATATTGATCCTTTTTATGGATTAAAGATTTGTAATTAACCATTTTTCAAAAAAGTTTACTGAGCTTTCATTTGGAAAATAAAATACTGGTCTCATTGCCAATGAATGTGAATAAGAAGCATTTCCATATTCTGGAATACACCTGTTTGTGTATCCACATGTGTAAATTAAGTTCAAGAGAAATTTTTAAATATGAAAAAACCATACATACTTCAATCTACCATATTTTTAGTAAGTAGTAATTTTCAAAGACAAATATTCGAGGAAAAGGAGAAAAAAAAGAACAGAAAAGAAAAACAGCCTCATTTTCTATCTTAGGACAAACAGACATGCAAGCAGCTTACTTACTTGTTCATAGTTAAAGGTATCTAACATTCCCAGAATAAGGCCCTGGATTTCTCCAAGTTTTCCTTTTCCATAAATTGGGTCCTAATTAGAAAAAAAAAAAAAATGTAAGAATTGTAATTGTTGGGCTACCTGGGATTTTAAATTTACTTTAGGTATTTCTTATTGTTATTGCTGTGGATTTTGTTTTCTGAGATGGTATTTCACTGTGTAGTTTAGGCTGGCCTGGAACTCACTAGGTAGCCCAAGCTGGCATCAAACTTGCAATTCTCCTGTTTCAGCCTCCTAAAAGCCAGATTTATAGGCATAAGCCACCATGCCCAGCTTAAGTATTTCACTTAAGCTCTTCCACGAACCTTCCCCAAGAAATGCATAGCCTCTGAATGTCTCAAAATTAAAATGTAAATGACCCAAATCCCTTCTTTAATAATCTTCTTTGCAGGTTTAATTAAACTTTATATCACTTATGTTTCTGTAAGAAGCTTCTATTAAACATCAGCTTTCCAAACTCTTTTGAGGTCTTCCTCAATCGCTGCTTAAAATCAATATATTTAGGAATAACAATCTGTCCCAACAATTCCTCTTGTGACCCACATTTTGCTATCTCCTAGCCCAAAGTAACTAAATTCCTCTAGTTTTAGAGACAGCTTTCAGTTTTTTAAAAGCTTTTTCCCCCAATAAAGTCATTACTGATAAATCACAGACGTCTAGTAACTCAATTTTCTCTCTACTGCCCTTCATACTAGGTATGCCAGATCACTTGTTTATTATGCACAATTTAAAAAAAACACTCAGTGGACCACAAACCCTCAAAACGCCCAAACTGAAATCCATTCACCCAGAAACTGCTGACATTTTGGCACACATTTATCCAAGCCTGCTTCTGGAAGAGGATGCACATCTTACCGTATAAAATTTGAACATTTCACAAAATATTTTTATATCTATTTTTTACTTAATGTTATGAGTACTTTCCCATATCATTATTTCTTTTTTCAAAAAAAAAAAAAACTTTACTGAGGGGGCTGGAGAGATGCTTCAATGGTTAAGAACACTGACTGTTCTTGCAGAAGACCCGGGTTCGAATCCTGGCACCACATGACAGCTAGCAACTTTCCGTAACTCCAGTCCCAAGGGATCCGACAGCCTCTTCTGACCTCCGCGGGCATTGC